AACTTGTGAACCATATTTCCATGTGTCAGAATACTAGTTCACATATGGCCCAATAATCTACCCAATACCAACGATGGAGAAACCACTATTGACCCAACTAATTACGTGATTTTCCTATTGGCTATTAATCGACCACTGGGTCGCCTAAAGTAAAAATGAATATTGTCATGGGGTGAATATGTCTAACAGATACGATGTGGCAGGTTCGGTCGTATGAGAAACGACAATCGAAAAACATGCAAGGAACACTCTATTGAATTATTCATCGATCCATCTTCATAATAACGTTTACTTCCACATATAATACAACTTATCTTATTAGAGAAACTACGATGTCCTCAACCCAACCACTTGTACTGGTCAAGCTATCCGAGAAATGGGTTGCCTTGATCATCAGTACAATATATACTAAATAAAGTGCTAGGCTTTATTTATGTTTCATAGTTTTTTACTAATGTCCAGTACACTTTGCGTGTTATGTAATTCCAATTTTATGCTTGTCGTGTGCACGACACAATCAGTTTACAAACAATTCAGTGCAATGTACAGCTTCACATTAATACGGTTTCATAGTAACACAACTTCACGCCATTGCTTCCCTACATCACGTGTACGCGCTGCCCACAGTTACGTGCACATGACGAGTTCATTTGCATTAGTATGCTAGTCAAACTCCCGCTCACAAACCTTCAACACACTAAGTATTAATGGCTTGAAACTTACAACCACTAACGTAGCAAACCCACTTACGATCAACTCTTTTATGGTACACATAGAACTAACCCAATAACTTATTTTTCAAACTATTCCATTTAATAATTTCTTAGCAACTAACATTACAACTGACCATTTCAAAAAAAAAAAAAAACATTCGACCGATCATAACAGACGTATCAAGCACTTGAGCAAGGCAAACTGTAAATAATAGTTCCACCTTCACAAAGTTGAAACTTGACATGTCAACATACAACCAATTACCTGCTAATCATCTTAATCTGACAAGTATTGGCAATGTGCAACGTACCACATCACAGAGCATCATGTTTCACTCGGACCGGACACATCACACCACCATTTCAAAAGCCGCACCATTACAAACATATTAACGTGTCAAAAAAGGCAATTTTAAACCTTTGCATTTAGGGCATCTCTTTCCCTTTTTTTTCTTTTTTTTTTTTTTTTGTTTTTTTTTTCGTTCAAATCTCTGTCGCTTTTCCATATTACAACTACAGCATGGGCACATGAGAAACCCTTAATTTATCATTGAAAACATGAGCATGTCCATTTGCCAATGTCGACAAGTACGAAATGTGTGAATGAACCTCGTACACCTCATCATTTGACTGGCTAACCTTCTATGAACGACCTTTGCTAAATGCCTTTTCTTACCAGGAATCCATTTTAGGGAAAATTGCACCTATCCATGTCTGTACAGTAACTCTACGTTTTGACATCTGCTGCATTAGCTGAGCTTTGATACTATCTACTAGTTTTGTGATTAGGAGATTGTGCGCCTCACGTATCCACGAACTGAATGACTTGGCCATATTGAAACTCATCTCTCCATATTAGTTGCTCCTGTTAATGTAAATGTCACACGTCAATGTGAAATAGTTAGTGTTTTACACGTTTGGAATTAACAACAATGACAATTATTTTGTTTAAAGCTAATGTAAATACCTGAAAAATGCATTCGCCCAATATTGTGGGTGTGCGTCCTCGAGGAATTTGATTGCAATAGCACTACTAGATTTTTGGAATTTTTTCAATTTCTAATTGAATGCAAGCACGGTTAGTGCGTATACACACGCTCAAAATTTGCTTACCAATCCATTATGATGCATACTATTCATGTATCGCATTTTATCTTTCAAGTTGCGCTACAAGTCTTGGAGACAGAACGCGTGATGTGCGTCTAGAAATATAGTAGGCATCGCCTCAAGCAGTCCCGTATTTCAATCTGAAACAAATGTTAATGAACTTCCCCCATCCAACACGTTGGATAAGTTTTACAATAACCATGACCGATTTGTTGTGTTTTCAGAGTCGACGATTGCATATGCCAAATGGAACAAACTTGTTTACACATTGTAGACGAGATAAGGGCTAGGTGTAATGATGGTTAGAGAAAAATTACAATGTTTAAATGGTATAACAGAATGTGTATTTCATTGATAAGGTGGGTGTGCATGGAAGGTTGCATTTTGTTATATGTGTGAAGGTTTTAACATACCTGTATTACCATCTTTCGCAGTGGCACCAAGCAAGAACCCTTTAAACCTTTTTTTGAGGAAAGTGGCGTCCAGAAATAATAATGGATGACAATGTTGGAAACCATCAATACACGTGTTGACATCGTAATCAAAATTAGTGTAGCTTCCAAGGTTATACTCGATTACAGAGTCGGTGTACCATCGCAACCTAACCACGCAACACAATACGTAATGTCCAGGTCATAGTCGTCCTTTAAATCTAACATGATATTGGTAAGACGTGTGAGTGGTCTGTCACGAACACATGATGAGACAATATCATAAACCAAATCTGACCCCACCCTTGGGTGCTTAGAGGCATGAACAACAACGCCACATAAGTGCTCATTATTCTATTTTCGAGATTAGAAAAAGCCGTTTGCGGCTAAAACCCGCACGTAGAGATACCACATGCAACCCTTTGTATCCTTTATAGCACAAATAGCTGTCACCCAAACGGAATTGTTCTTCACATATTTGTATTGGAATCCATACTCCATGGTGTATTTGCAAAGTATAGTACGAAACAGTTGTGCGTCGCCTTCGAAACACTGACCCACGTGAGTGAGTTTGTTAGCCCGTAGGGCAGTCAGTAGCATCTTCTTGGTATGAGGACAAAAATTAGGTAGCAGGTCAATGTCATCATCCAAATTCAATAGGCGTCTGACCCCTTTACGAGATGGCGTAGGTTCATTCATCATGGAACAAGCAGTAGATGCGATTGCGTTAACTGCCTCATCTTCTTATGCGATAATGACAACTATGTGTTGCATACAGAAAGACAACTCGAGGTACACCATATTCTGCATGTCCACATTGTTCTATAATTCAACATTGTCGAACCAGGGAATCTTGAAAATCAACACTACGTTTGTATGTATCAATCCCTTGAATTTCGAGCAAACAAAATCAACTAGGTCCCCAAACAGAAATGGATATTCCATATTGTATGCAACATTTGTACTCTAGTGTGAATGCAACAATATCATATTGCTTTCCATACCTGCAACGAAGTAGGAGGACATCACAATTAAGAACAAGATTAAATTTGTTGTATGTAACACATCAAACGATGGTTAGTGGTGTAACATTTCATGCTTTCGATATTGCGCGAGGCAATTATGAGTAATTAGACACAATTAGCAATCATTTAAGACAGAAGTATAAGTTATGCTTGATGTGTAACATCGATGATGGATACATATTCCCACAAGAAAATGTCTGCAACTTTGGCACGACATCGGTGCAATCAACACCACATATCGATATACATTAGAGAGATACATAGGTACATGCGCGGAGGATAGATAATGTGTTATATGCCAATGTGACAAACGTGCCAGATGGAGAACCCAAAATGTCTGACTGGGAACAAACATAATTGGGAAAATGTAAAGCATGAATGACCCCTCCTATAAGGGCAAAACAATGTCACTTTTTGTCCCCCCTCCCCCCCAAATCGGAAACCACACATGACCCACCCCAATCAATCTCCCAAAAAAGGGACACAACTTCATGAATTGTATATACATGAACGGGGCAAATAGTGGTATGAAGTATGTACCGTACTTGTCAACCTGTGTGGTGTTTTGAAGAATGAAAACCTATCCTCCTTTCAGGAGTAGTGATATATGTTGAAGCTTTAAACGTGGCTCCCATCTCCATCTTGCGTCACATATATCCCAACCCCCCAAAATGCACTACAGGAAATTCGTTTTTTAGCGGCGTTTCAAAAACGCCACGAAAATCCTGAAAAACGCCGTAATATCTTATAGTGACGTGTAAAATTTTCGCCACTGATAGGGCCGCCGCAATAGCTACACAACGTTTGAAAAACGTCGCTAAAAACATTATACGGCGTTTCTTAAAACACCGCAAAATATTTGACGACCGTCCGTCCCCAATAACGTGTGACGTGAGAATGACGTCATTTAGTGGCGTTTTTCGAAAAACGCCACTAAATGACGTCATTCTCACGTCACACGTTAGTGGGGATGGACGGTCGTCAAATATTTTGCGGCGTTTTAAGAAACGCCGTATAATGTTTTTAGCGACGTTTTTCAAACGTTGTGTAGCTATTGCGGCGGCCCTATCAGCGGCGAAAATTTTACACGTCACTATAAGATAATCAATCCTCAATACATGCCATATACATGCATAATATAATCTCACCAGAATCATCATTTCAAGTAAAAATTTCACATCTAGTGTCATATACATGCATATTGTCAACTAAGACATCTAAACAACCATGAGTCAGTAACACATTGTTTCCATAGGACGCAATTCAAACAAAAGATTCCATGCCCACATTGAGTTTTCGAAACTCAAGACAACCAAAAAAAATTTTAGTACGGTTTGTTGACTTCCAAGTCTTGTAGCTTCTTTTCATGGTAATCTAAAAGATCAACCTTGTGTCCAAACAATCCCAAAAAGCCATCACGCCTCAACCTTTCTCGAGTACGGTTTGTTGACTTCAAGCGAACAAGCCTCCTATTCAATTTATCTGCATCACTCTAGAAGAAGAAAAAAATCAAATAATTAGAAGTCACAAAGGAAAAAGAAAGCAAGTTGATATAGTTTTAAGATGTGCACTAAACCACATCTGAAGTTTTATATCTAAAATAATTTTGTTCTAATGCTCCAATTGAACAATGTATGAAAAGGAGTGCAGACTGCAACTAATTTAATCTTCCAAAAGGCTCAAAATTTCATTCACATGAACCAATTACACACAAAAAAATGACGATGATAATAATAAGAGCACAATAAACTATTCTAAGCTTTTAAGTATGTCTTGAGACACTTAATTGAAGAAAATAATTTTCCGATGTCTTGAACCATTAGCTTCCGTATTTCTACTAAAAGGCTGCTATGAACAAATAAATAAAAACACAAAGCCTATAAAAAGTTTAAAAATTGATTACTTATTGAAACAAGAGCTCGTTAAAAAGCTAAAAGGCGATAAAAAAAACAGCTAAAAAGCTTATCCAAATATGAAAGATACCAATCTGAATCATCTTATACAGGTTGCGCATGTCCTCATTTTCTCGGTATGTAATTAAAGATGTTAATGAATCCTATCCTATTGCAACCTTAGAGCATTTGATTGATGGACTTTTCTTGTTAAAGGGTTATTCATTCAGCATCCTTTAGGTATACAAGTAAACGAAGCCACTCTCCGTATCAAAAATTTGTATAAATTTTGACTCATTTTTTTTAGGATTTGATAACATATTTGTTTTGGTTCTTGACTTCTCTGAATTTTTTAACCCTAGCTAGTTGACACTGGTGAAAGAAGAAGAGATCTTGTTGGGATAATTTGTTGTTTGAAGTCTACTTGAATCATCTCTAGTTTGAGAAACAACTTTATCATCACCAGTTAAATGAGTTGAATCTATCACCAGACCTACAAAGTTTTATAATGATCTTATATTGTTCATGTTCTATTTGTTTCCTAGATATCTTGTATTTATCTATTGTTGATTGGGACAATCAATGCATACTACAAATTTTTTTTTTTTTCTGTACCTTTCTTATGCAAAGGACTAAAGCGAGGAACCACAAAACCCATACAGACATTCTATAAAATAAGTTAGTTTGCTTACCATTGATGTGGCTGATGTTTGGATGCATAGAAATAGGCAATCCTTTTTGATGAAATATAGTTAAACTCCTTTTTGAGGAAGCAAATCCAACTATAATGGTTTAGAATGAACCTGAGTTTGTCATATCTACTTCTTCTTCTTCTTCTTTTCTTTCTTTGATATGTGAACCTGCGTTTGATAAGAATAAATAACATGAATAAAATGTCATATGAAAATTTCATAATTAACTTTTACTCACTTCCTCGGACGAACGATGACAATTAAATGATGAGGTGTATGCATGGGATTGTTGTTGTGAATGCACATGTGTAGCAGCTGGTGCAACAGGCCCACCCATGGCCTGTTGAGACTCCAATTGCTCTATTAGGGCTTGTTGAGCTTGGATTGTGCTTTGCATCTCCATTTGTACTTTCTGTTGATTAAGCATAGCGTCCATCATCTCCTTCATTTGCATCTCCATTTGTGCTTTATATTGGTTAAGTTGCTCTTGAACTTGCGTTTGGATGATACGAGTTTGTTCTTGCGATTGCCTATATCCGCCTCCAAAGACATCTGTCGGGAAAGGACCCAATCCATATGTTCGAACACGACCAGGTCGCTCAGGCCCTAGAACCAGTGAGATAATTTCTTCATCTGTAGCATTGGATTGCGCCCCAAGGTCCTTCATTTGTGTCTACAATTGTTAATTAGTAATTAGCCACCAATAAAATTGTTCATAACTAGTGCCGTTAAATGTAACCTACTTCCATTGGGCCATATGAATTCAATAACATCATCAATCCAGATTCAAAATTGTTTCATTGACACTTCCACTTCATATGCTCAAATTCAGAGATTTGGCAGCAAAAAAAGGTAAATGGAATCAAACAAGAAGCTTTCACTAAATTATAGATTTAATGTTATTATAGATTTATAATTTATAAATTAGACCTAATCATTAAATTTATAAATTATAGTATTCATAGCTAATCTATAATCTATGAATACCTAATCAATTAGCTAACGAAGTACTAAGTAAGGCTGATTCTGTAGAATCTGTGTTTGAGGCTGTCAACAAACATAGAATCAGTGTTTGAATCTGTAGAATTAATTCGTTGGTGAGCTCCCATTTCAAGGTGATTCTGTAGAATCTGTGTTTGAGGCTGTCAACAAGGTGAAACTTGATTTTTGCAGTGGAGTATGGGAATCAGCACCCCAAGCTGCTTGTGATCTAATTGCTCATACACTTACAAGGGATGTTTCAGCGAGGTTCAATGCTGACGAAGTACTAAGTAAGCCTCAATATACTTCTCTTGCTTTCATTAGGCTGCATTTTGGTAATCAGATAACTAGGCACAGGAAGGGTTCACTTCTCTTATTGCTACCATTTTGGTTGTCTAAAATGAACGAAATGACTAATTTTGTTGGAAGTTGCATACCAATCTGTTTTAAATCTCCATTCATCTCATTTTTTTCATTTTTTTTTCACTAGAAACATGTGCAAGGATGAATCAGATGGGTAAGTGTTCTGTCTCATTCACCCCCAGTTCCGTAGCATTCTTTTACTTTTGGCTTTGTTAAAGCCAAATGAAACCGTTGTCTTATCTCTTTGTACATTAATGATCCAATTTATATTTTTTCAGATCATCCGTGGATTTTGGCCCATACAGAATCCACATTGAAGACACTAGCTTCCAAGCCAAAAATGGATAACCATGTAAGATTGACTTCACGAAAACTGACTGCCAGACATGCAGTGGAGTTGGAGAGAAACAAGGTAGTAACCAGCAGCTCTCTCAGTGATGACTCTATGTTAGCCTTCTCATCCAATAACTCGACTAAGAAGACAGAAGATGACAACTATGGTTTTGTTGATGCCCTCGCTATGGAGATTTCGCGTAGAAGGATATCTGAGCCAAAGAGAAGCAGGTTATGTGTCCCTGCCAGCCCAATCCAACAGGAGTGCCCCTCTAACATAAAGGTTAACAACCTCTGTACAGCATTTTGACTCTGCTGAAGATGACTTACCTCCGGAGGGGCTTAACTTGACACTTGATAGCGAAGGGGAAGAAGCCATGGTTAGCTACTTTTCGACAACAAAGTAATCACTCGAGAGTCTTTAATTTCCTGTATAAATCGAGGGTATTATTAACTAGCACGTTAAGTGCTCATGTGATGTAAGTTTATGCCTGGCCTAACAAATTATGTATGCGGGTTTGTTTCTCCTTTTTCCCTAGTAATTTCATAACATTTCTTTAAAAAATAAATAAAGAAACAAATATGAGACAAATATCTAATACATTCCATACATGCAAAGTATATAATTATGGTGCTAC